TGAGAATAAGCGTCCACATTTGTTTTCATCGATTACTTTATTGATTCGTAAACAATGGAAAATTAAGGCGATGAACGAAAACAAATGATATTTGCTACCTAATCTGTGGTTTTTTTTCGTATATATACAATTTTAGGTATAGTACAGATTTTGACTATCAATTCTAGTTGATAAATAAAATAAAATTTTTGTTGTAGTAAATCAAAAGCAATTAGAAGTAATATAGATATGGGGTCAAATGTTGCGTGTCCAATTCAAGTCGAAGATGAGGAGCCTTAAATTGCTTCTAAAACTGCTTTCAAGCCGATTGGCGTTAATGCAGTTTTAGGTCTGTCTTGCTCCTGCAAACTATTAAGTACATTCCATGATTAGTTTGGCAGTTTGAATAAATGAGAAATATTTTTAAAATTCTTTTTCTTCACAGTTTTTAAGATTTTAATTCTTGTGGCTGCAAGCAATTCTTAGATAGATGCAATTTTACGTACTGCACCACCTAGAAAAGGAGCAAAGCCTTAAGTTCTACAAAGGATATGAAGAAAGAACATAAAGATGAGGCAGTTGTTAGTAATGAATGCTTTGCAAATACCATTATTCCCGCTAATCAAGAGAACATCGATAGTAATCAATAGCACAAAATATTGAAAATGACATATAAGCCACAAATCTATCGGCTTAGTCCATCTTCATTCAACATACCAAAAAAAAAAAAAAATATTGAAAATAAACCAAGAAAGTTTTAATAGCTTTGTGTGCATCACAAAGGCATTTTGAAGTTTTGGACTTTTGTTATCACATCTTAAGAGCGCAGCGTGCCGATGAGATAAATATGTCAAAGGATTGTAAATCTTTTAATAGTTATGTTAATTTTCCATACTTACTGAATTATTTATACCTAATTTTTATTAAAATTATGCAGAAACTTAAATGCATGGTAGACCAGATGAGACGCTTTGAAATATTGAACTCTTAGATTTTCGCTATATTGAACAAACATCTGAAACGTAGTGACTTTGAAGGAGCGTGTGGAGCATGTACGTGCTTTTCACCGCTGCAATATTATTATTAAAAGAACGAATTGTAATAGATTGTTTTTTATATTTTGATATATTTGATGTTTATAATAAACATATTTTGTTAAACAAATACAGTCAATGCAATCTTAAATATTCGAAATTATTCGATTTCTCTTTGATACACGCAACAAAGGCCCCTTACTTAGATATTATTGATTTATTGTTTACTCTAGAAATAAGGGGCAATTTTTTAGATAATTGTTGGTCGACTATGTTTAAATTATAAATCATACGCGTTGAAATCTATATATGAAAAGCCAGGCTAGATTTCCTGAGGTCAAATAAACGCTGTCGCCAGAGTTTATAAATCGATTTTTTCACATTTCATTCTTTAAATTTTCGGGTTTGGTTTTGTGTGGAGGTTGTGGTTTTGATGTTGAATTCTTATTATTTTGAAGTGTTTAGAAGTGTTTAAGACTGCTTAGAGACACCTGGATTATGAGTATTACCTCATCGGTAATCTACGTTACCAAATTTATCTCGGTTTACATTTATTATTATGATTGGCGGATTATCTGCGATATCAGATTTTCCTCGATGTATATACATTATTGGAGTTGGATGCAGTCAATACGACACAATGAATTTGTAATTTCCGTTATTCGACCCTGTCCAGTTGCAATTGATGTGTAGGTGGCAATAACGGCGTTGGCTAATCGGTTTTTTCTTTTTTTATATAAAGACCCTTTTGATGTGCTTCGGTTTGTTGGAATGTTGAATGGAGTTGAAGGCTAATTCAGCGGCGGCAATATAGTGTTTCTGATTGCCTTGCGGCAAATTCACAGTCAAGTTGGCAGACTGGTTGACTATCCCGTCGGATGTTTGGCCTTGTAATTTTATTTTATTATCCGCAGGTATTGGTGTTGTAGGGTTCGGGACCTGTTCTTCGTAACGATTGTACTGACTCATATTGTTTTTATTTCATTGTTTTAGACAACATTTTATATTATAAAATATGTTAGCAATACACAGAAACAATAGAAGAATGCAGATGCAATGATGCTTTGTCTCATATGTAAAGCCAAAAGACATCGCATATAAATTTAACGTAGGTTCCTGTCATAGTTGGCTTAATCTCACGGTGCCCTATGTCATTTTAAACACGAAACTCACAGTGGCATTAATAATTCAATTTTTTAGTCGTTTGAATAATGGGATGTAACCATTTCCAATTAATAAATAAATTTTTTTTAATGGGTACGTTTTTCTAGTGGGAACATCATTGAGCAGGTAAGAAAGACCATTTTCAATTATGGAAACAAAATCAGACAATTTTTGAGCGGCGAGTCACGCTTCTTTACAAAAGGAAAATGGGTAGGCAGTCAAATCCGTGGGTTTGGCACCATTAATTAATTGCGAATTGAACAATCGAAAACATTGACCTTTAAAAATACATTAGAAAGAAGATTGATCAGGAAAATTGGCAAAAATAATCGATGTCATCCACATTATTTAAGAAAAAATATACAGATTTATAAAAGAAAAAATAAAGTGGCATTAGAAATTGAACAACCTAATATTCGCACTACTTTTTACTAGTCGTTCATTAAAGGTGATTAAAAAAAAGGTTTGTTGCTTTATTTTGAGCTCCATTTAATAACAATAACGCCTTTCAGTTGAAAGACTTATGAAAGTTGTAAAACCCATAAATCAGCCGCCGTAGAAAAGGCAGCCCAACCCAAAATATCTCTACAAAGTAAGAAGAATTAAATGTAAGAAACGCTTGGCTATCCATAGCATTATTTTGCAAAAAGCTTTCGATCTACCTTACGAATAATGACGTTTGCAGAAGACAATAAACACTTAATTGCAAAATACAAAATGCTCAAAGGAAAAACGGTGACCAATCTGCTACTGCCACCCGATTCCGATTGTCCGGAAAGTTTCACGATATGCAATATGATCACATAGAATACCGTAACAACGAGCATAATCAGAGCAGCGACTTTATAGAAATAAAATAAACATTGAGCCAAAAATTCTTTTCTCAAAGTGAAAAATGTTTCTTTCAAACTTACCTCTTGCTTGCATATCCTATTCATAGGGTATACATAAGGACCATATATCGAATAGAACACGGGCGAAAAAAAACTGTTTTAAACCTCCAGTTCGTTGTTTTAATGAGCATGATGTGTACAATTCGTCTAACATCAAGTCTGACAAACCCACTTCACTCATTTCTGCTTGATCTTTCTCATGACGCTTTTGTTTAGCTGACGTCGTCATATTATTATTACAATTCTATCTATGATCAGTCATTTTATTATAAATTCTTTCCCCCAGAACTAATTGTCCTCTATATAAAACTCAACAAGCAGAGCGTTGAATGTTGATGTGTTGTTAAAAGGGGAGAGATGATGTCCTTAAAATATATTTACATGATCATAAAGTAGAGCGAAACTCCATTCACTTGATATATTCTCCAAACTTTTTTTTAATAACAGTATTTGCTTGTTGGTTTTTCAACTTCCATACATATGTTTAAATCTGTAATTTTCACAAAATAATGATATATAAAGACTAAAAAAACGTTTAACTGAAATTTGTTATATAGCGTGAGAGTTCTGGTATAAGTATAGATATAACCTGCAACGAAAGGAAAAGAAGACGTATTGGAATTTACCCATTTTCATTCATATATGGCATTCATCAGTTCGCTTCTGCAACAATCAATAAGCGTCGACAAAATATTAAATTAATAGTTTTCAGCATCATTTGTCGTTTGTTTGGATCTACTGTAGAACGCTCGCTAGCAAAATCCGTATTTAAAAAATGAATCCATATTTAAAAAATACTTTAACTTTTATGAGAAAACGAAAAAACAGTCATATGAATTCAAAAGGAGATGTGAAAGAAATATAGGAAATTGTTTACAACTCAAAAGGAGATGTGAAAGAAATATAGGGTTTTTTGGAATGTGGGAATTTGATTGGATAGACTTCTGTCTCTATTCTCAACACAACTATTTTGCAAATTTGATCACAAAAAAAAAAAAAAGGCATGGCTTTGGTGCGTTAATATTTTACATTATATATCGTAATAAATAGATACGAATTTTGTTTTGCTCTTAGGGGTTGTTTTCAATTTTTGATAAAAGAAAATGTTGAAAAGATATCTAATAAATCTTTTTAGAACACTTTTATTAAACACGAAGCGAAAGATTTCATTGATACTATTTTGTATGAAATAGATTTTGAAATGCCTGATTTCGGAGAGAACACTGCAAGTAAAAAAATCAATCATTAAAATTGTTAATTATTACGGTCTTTTCCTGTATGCGTTCTTTTCACTACTCTCGCGTTAGTCTTAATATCGTACCGCCACTATGCAAACAACAAAGTCGCGATATCAAAAAATTTATTGGAATTATCCTTAGTCAAATTATTGCAAAGCAGTAACAGATCTTTCAGAAATCTACTCTTCCAAAGTGCCGAATAGTTTCAAGAATTCGAAAATTTGCATTCGATGCCCTACGGCCATCTTGAAAGGAAAATATGACATTCATATAACATTTAACTTTATTAAAACGACTAGATTAAATATTTATCCTATCGTTTTTCAAAAAATAGAGCCGATAGTCCTAGTTGTTCGTAGCCAAAATAAATTATAATAATAATAACATATTTACGAATTTTTTAATGAAATACTCAGGAGAAAACTATTCTGTTATTCGTTTACTTCAAATGGATTTTTTGAAATTCTTTTTTAATTTGAATTCATAAAAAAAATTGTTTTATTCAATCGGTGATTCAATCGGAAATACCTATATTTCGTATAAATATTTTCTGGATTGGAAAGGAATTTTCACCATACAACCGGTTCAATTACTGAACAGCCGGTAATAATCAGCTGTTAAACTTGACAGTTGCTGTCAAGTAGTTCGCGCCTGTTATACTCAGATTTAGATATTGATATTTTTCTCCGCGAAATTGTTCAACCAAAGAGAATGAGGTTTTCGATTCTCTTTAGTTCAAATGCGGCTTTGTATTTGCTACTCTGTTCTTGGTCTGGCTGGCTGTCAAACTGCCGTCATCATCAAAGTTTTTATTTGGAGAAGTAAAAATGTGAATATTTGGCAAATATAATCCTTTAGGATGTACAGTACGTTTCTGTAAAACAATAAGTGATGCAATTTTTACATCAAAAATAAAGTAAATTAAAGTCCGTACTGCATTAAAACAAGAGATTATTCTTTAGTAAACGTGGTCACGCCTTGATATTTTTTCTTTTGCTTAACGGCTGAAAAAAGTGTTTTACAAAACCTGGAAGCCGGTATAAATTTCGGAATCGTTTACCAAACGATGATAAGCTCGTTTGTCAATTTCCAGATTAAGTGTTAATTTCAGTAAAAAGTGAATTTAAAATGACTTGGAAAAAAGTTTCGTTGTGAATGTATGCGTCGAGTAAACCTCTATTAAACACATAAATATATATAAAACAAAAAAAAGGAGTAGCAGAGTTTAAAGCACCATATAAAAAATTATATAAAAATTTTTAATTAGATTTCTAAGGATTCTTGGACACACAAATGTATTATAAAATAAACATATCAATTGTACAATCAAACGGTGAGTGTAACGAAAAACGATTGCAGTTTTGGTGAAAATGTATTTACGATCTGTTGATAATCTTTTCCATTTACAGAACTTTATTGCAGTTTTTTAATGCAATTCTCTAAAATTACAATAATAATTTTGGCATAGGAAGCAAATAAAAATTTCTAATTTTTTTCTTTTGTTGTTCGCCTCATCGGCTTTATTACGAGTGTTTGTGCAGTAACCGCTGTCGTCGCTATCACTATTCTTCATTTTTGCCGCTTTTTCTTTACTAGACGGAGAAATAAGACTCATCAACTTGAATTTTAGCCGTGTGCGTTGTTTTCCTCCAGCTAGTTTGCTAGCCAAACATTGAATTCAATCATCCGTCCAACTAGTCGCTTTACTCTCACGCGTGTTCCTACTGCGCTCACTATACAACATAAGCGCGCGCGCTACTCTGCTCTTTACTTCTCATTTTTGGCACAAAAAGCCCGCGCGCGCCAAAATGCTCCAAAAGAAATGTCCATAATTGCCAAAGATTTCCACTAATATTTAATTTTTTTAAAGAATCTGATACTACGGGGTATTACCACAAGTTGAACATAAATCCTTTACCGTTTATCGTTTAGGTTTACAATGAAAAACGTTTTCAAAGTAGGCCCCGAAAATGCATAATCTGGGTTTGTTTTGTATACATTTTTGTTGCTGTTTGTTTTCGTTGCCAACAGTGTTGTCAATTTACTTTTATTTTTAGTCGAAAAGTAATTTATCGGTATTAATACACGCAAATTGGTTGAAATGACGTTTACTTTATAGAAAATTATTTGAGCATTTGCATAAAAGTAATTAAAATATCTTTCGGGATCTATCCGAAGGTAGTTTAGAAAGAAAATTTAGATTCACTGTAAATTTTAAAATTTCAAAAAGTACAAAAATTATAAATTTATATATAAATATACCTCCCAAAAAAAAAAAAAAAAAAAAAAAAAAAAAAAGAAGAGGAGCCTGTAGTTTTAGTTGCTACTTTTGGTCGTAGTATTTATTTCTTTAGTAGAAATAAATTGTAATAATAATAAGTAAATTAGTCAAATTTACCTCTAATTTTATCAATAATTTATTAATAGCGATGAAATTAAGTTTGTACGAATTATTAATTGTAATTATTATCCCACCAATGAAACACAAGTAAGCATAAAATGTAATTACTGTTATAGACAACATGGTAAAAATATAAAATTAATAGGTGTAAATGTTCTTATAATATCTTGATTTTTCTTATTTCATTTTGTCTATTTAATATATAACTTATATGTTAATAGGCATCAAGTGCAACTTAAAGCGCCTGTCATTGGATTTATATGAGTGTCGTACACAACTAGCTGACTAATAGGGTATAACAATGTTGGAAGATTAGAAGTCTTTGAGAATTTGGGCTAGCAAAGGTTTTTTTTTGTAATTGTGCGATATTCTGAAACGTTGATTAAACAACCGATCCCCCCACTTCTGTGATCTACTTTGCAGAAACATTTGGTACTTGCAAACTTATTGCTCTCCCTTATGTTTTATTGAGATAAATGTAAATGGTTATGTTCATTTTTCGATGTTCAATTGCACCAATTTCGAATTGCGTCGACAATACTGTTTCACTTGAACGAGTTTTTCTCAGGGTTTTTTCGTTAGTGTTTGTTGAAATAATTCGTGAAAAGTCGATATATAAACCTGAAAGAATTATCAATACTTCTGTACTACGAGTTTATTTTGATTGACACTTTATGATGGATACTTGCATGCGTATGATGGTACGTAATAAATTTGCACAGAATAGAAATCATCACCTTTAATAGCGACTTTGAATAGTGTGTTATTTGCTAATACCCTAAGAGTATAATCACTCTTTTTCAGTTCTTATGTAGTCTGTATTTTGCTGCGCCTTCTGCAGCTGCAGTCAGTCAATAGCGCCGCATCTCTGCTTTGGTGATGTAGCTCCTAAAGAGATTTGCGCGCAATATAAAATATTTTATAAGAATTGTTTTATTTATTTATTTTTTCAATTTCTTCACTCATTGCGTTTTGAGGAATTTGTCTCTTAATATGTAATTCCGTAAGAACAAGTGCTGCTAGTTCTGCATTGTAAGGTAAAATAAAAGACAACAAAGCAGTCGAATCGTTATTGTTGGTTGATTTAGTTAAATTAAAAGTATATATTTTTATTATTGCTGAATTTTGGCGCTCGATCATCTGTTTTCGCGCCTGGTATGTGTTTGTAGATATATTCAGTGGAAGTAACAATCTATGTATATACGTGCTTGTGAATATAACTGAGTAATTAATTCCTCTAATATTAGATGCTACAGACATCGTTGATGTATAGCTTCTTTCCTTCCTTTCCTTTCTTAATGCAAATAGGTGATTCATGCACGTTAATCTCTCCCAGATTTGATGTTATATCTAATATAGGAGAAGGCAGCAAGTCATTCCGTTTATAACATCCGTGACATATATATATATATATATATATATATAAAATCAAATTAAATATAATAAATTAAAATAAATTATACAATATAAAATAAATTATATATATAAATTATATAAAAATTACCATATATACAAAAAAAATTCAACATGTATATATATATATATAAATTTGTAATATATACAAATTTATGTAAATAAAAATAAAAAAATAAAAAAATATACATATTTATGTAAATAAAATTTGTATATATATCTATAAATAGTACATATATCACCATGAGGAAAAATTTATTAAAATTCGATATAATCTAACTTAGTAGTCAATTTAATATTTGAAATAGCAAACGTTGATAAAATTAAAATCAATTCCAAGGTAAGAAAGATCTTCGAACATACAAAATGGCGTATCTAGAAAAAAATTGAGGTAAAATGTAGTACTAATTAAAAATTTATTATTTATTCTCAGAATCATATAATATTTCGTGCAAAATATCAACTTTTCTTGCTACCTTTGTAAAGTTATATTCGAATATTTTCTTAATTCTTACTGTGGTTTGACACAGTCAACGCTGCATAAGAAGTAAGAGAACATACGTTTCAATCTGAGGATTGTAAAATCTTCAAAATAGTGTAGGCGTCATCTTGTAGCTTAAGCGCCTATGAATACACAAAAATTTACATGAAACAGAAAATTACGAAAGTTGGCTGGAAAGAAATCACGATTATCAATAACCCATTCTTTGCTAGAACACTCAGTGTTTGTAAATGGATCTCCGTGCCCAATTTCAGAGGTCATTTATATTGCACTCCTCGTCGTTCTTCACAGGCACGAAAATAGATGTAGAAAGCAGAAATTGGCAAAGTCCTTTGTAAAAGACGACCAACTGGCTGGGGTTTGGTTTAAAAGTGCTGGTTACACTTCATAAAACCCGGCGCACAATAATCTAAAACTTCCAGGAAATATTTGCGAAAGTTATTGGAAACCTCAACCCAAGAGGGTATAATCGCTTATAAATACCGCTAATAAAAGCAAAAGTTTTACCTTGCTACCTATAGACGCCTATCAAATTACAGTTTGGTATACATATTTGTTTGATCAAACTAAGTTTCCATGATTAAAGAAATATTTTATATTTTTTCAGTATTGGTGCGAGGTGGATATTAGAGATACGAAAACCGATATCCCTTTTTTTTGGTTTGACGAATTTGCGTTTCCGTTCAGAAAATTATCATCTTCAATTCCAATCGTAGACTTACAGCTTGCGATTAATTTTTAAATCATTCTCCAAAAAATTTAAATTTTTTGTACTTTATCTTTGCTTATACCGTTCATATGTTTTTTGTTGTCTTTGTTGGTGTCATGATCAATTTGTGGACGATTTACCTCGGTTCGCACTACTTATTAACCTTATCTCATATGGGGCTTTGACAAAGTTTGCACATAATCATTCATCTGGGGCCATGAGTTTTTTCGCACATTGTCCTCATAACGCGTCCACTTTTCAAATGTCTCTTAAATGCCATGAAAACGTCAATGTTCCAATTTCCTTCTCCATTAATACGAAGCTTCCTTTTCTGCCCATCCGGGTCAATTCGATCTTTTTTGACTTATAAACAAAATGCTTATATTGCTTATTAGCACATTTTTACCCAATTATGAATAAATTGGAAATAGATTAGAATGAAAATTATTAATATTTGGCGTGCTAGTCAAACGATCGAGATAATTTTTGAAAGGAACGTGTAATCTGATGTGACGAACATGGTCGTAACAATTTTTCGGAAATTGTCCAACCTGTTTACGTAGAAGAACTTGAGATAGACTTATCTATCTTTTATTAAACCGGTCGATTTAGAATCATTCTCTCAATCGATCTAAGCTTTTTTTCTTTTCTTGTATTCAACTTGCAGGTCACAGTTTTCGGAATATTTTGACGAAATTTAGTAAACTGACGCGTTTTCGTTCAAGCACCCCTTTTTCGACCGCTTTCTATACAATAACTTATCTTGAAAAACCGTGATATGAATAACAGTATTAAGCCAAGCGGTGCAGGGTATTTAAAGGCGAGTCCCACTGTAGTGTTGTTTACGAGTTTAACACTGCGTTTATAAGCGGTAAAGCCATCTTTGGGCTTAATTTTAATTTTTCGTCTTTAATTTTCCGACTGCAGCGATCCCACAAAGATTATACTGTAATATAGCTCGATAGGGTTGGTGTTACGCGGCTCTACACACTATTGCAAGAAATTCAGCTTCTTGGTTAGAGTTTTCAGGACCGTTAGAGTTTAGCACATTTACGAATGTTTCTGAACGTATCTGTAATGAAAGACGTCGACAATTCCATTCGATCCTTTGTTTTTGGTTGTATGTATCTTTTTCTTTTGTTTAAAGATCTACGGAATGAGA